TGGAACATTTTACTGTTTTGAAATGAAGGAATCCTTTTCATGTTTTTCAAATTGCCATCTTCTCTATCATTTCATTGTTATTTCACTAATTGCAAATTGACTGCTCTGTTGGTTTAGGAGGGCTGACTCTTCTCTGGATGCCAGCAGAATTGAGAATCCTTATCTTTTTGTCCCAGTGAAATACTAACCCCAATGCACAAAGCAACCTGAATAAAGACAGAAGTATTTTGCCCTTCGCTCTCTGATATATAACATCACTGCCTCTGTCTTTTGCTCGCAGGGCTCCTCTGATGCTGTCAAGACTAAGGGGATGGCTGACCACAGTCATTCTCATGTTTATTTCTTCCCCAAGCCCAATCAACAACAGTCTTCAAAAATCACAAAAATATAAAACTGGACTCAAAACCCCTTTGGAGTTGTGATTATATACTGATTTGTATGATCATTTGATTAATATCTACTGATCTCACTAGATGGTAACCTTGAAAACAGGGGATATATCTGAATATTTCCTGCTCCTAACAATGGCACCTGGAAAACTCAAATTCTTGATAAATACCATTGAATGGATATATCATTGTTCTCAAGGTGTGGTGCCCAGACCAGCAATATCAGGTTCACCCAGACAACATGTTAGCAATACAAATTCTTGGAACCCACTCCAGACCTACTGAATCAGAAACTCTGGGGTTGGAGCTCAGCAACCTATGTTTTTACAGCTCCCTAGATGATTTGGATATATGCTAACATTTGAGATTTCCTTTTTTGAAAGCACAGGTCGATTTCTAACCAAGGGTGGCTAGATAGATATGGCAGAAAAATATTGTCCAAAAAAGGTAGGTTACTATCTGGGTACTGGGAAACAATGCATTGACCCAGCTTGTAAGCATTTTTTTCCTATTTTATTATACCCTTTCCTGTGAAATCTAATAAATCCTCTCTCTTTTGAGACAAGTGAGTTGAGTTCCTGTTTCCCACAACCAAGAAAGGAAATTATCTGTACTGCTTAGGAGAGAGTTAAAACTTAGACACCAGGCCCGGTACTCAAATTCTTGGAGTCTCAGCCTGCAAAGATTGTATGTAACTCCTCATGTTTGCATGCTTTAGATATAACCAGGCAAGGGAACTGTAGCTTAACTTCCTGGTAGCCCCTTCTAGCCAATTTAGAAAAAATGGTCTTGATTATTTAAGTCTTTTGTATGACTTGGTGAAGAAGTCACTGACACCTGAGTTGAGACCCAACATTCTGTCTTGGAGTGAATAAGTGAACTCCAGTGAGCAGATGCTGTCATCAGCCTTTATTCTGTTAGAAGGTTCAGAAGCTTTTTAAGGTAGGAAGCTTCTCACCCTTTCAACTAGCTCAAATGCACTATGTGCACAGAGCAGTAGCTCCATAAATCACTTGCCTCATCTGGTATGAACTTCTGATTCTTAAACAACTGATGGGGTTTGGTAAATTGCTAAAATATTTGTTGCATAAGTTTCTGCTGTTTTTATTTGTTTTGTTTCACAGAACTGAAATTTTAAACATAATTTGGCATGAGATAGAAAGTTTACAGTTGATCGCATATAAGTCAATAGAATGGTGGTTACCAGAAGCTGGAGTGGAAGGGGGAGTTAAAGAAAAAGAAAGATTAGCATCTTTGCAATAGTATTTAAAGTATGTTAATAAATTTGTATATAGAATTAACTTGTTAAATCAAAAATTTTAAAAGAAATCCACAAAGAACATGTATCAATTGTTTCCATTGTGTTTAGTAAAGGAATGTGCTGGGGAGAGTACCAGGTAACAATATAGATTCTACTATTTCTTAGTGGGCTAAACTGGTTTGGAATAATCTCTGTATGTTCCCTTTTTATTTTCTCCCCTACTCTTCTGGTAAAAACAACCAAGAAGAGAAAATAAGCCATAAAAACACTCTTACCCTTTTGGTTCTATGTTTTGTCTATGTTCTATAACTAAAAGCCCCTAGAAGAAGATAACATTTGTTTAGCTAATGATTTCTAAAATTCTTTTTTGAATATTCCTAAAATCATTCACACATGGGCAGCAGGACATTAAATTACACAGTATCTTAAAGTGAGTTGCTTTTTAGCGATTTTAGAAATCTAATTTTATATTTTGGTTTATGATAGCATCTCATAAAGTCAGAGCAAATAAATTCATATGGGGAACAATTTCTTTGAAAATGTAAGAACTTTTATAATATAGAAGCTTTGATAAAGTAGGAGCAAATAAATACACATGGGCAACAATTTCTTCACTTAAGAAAGGAAACACCTGGTGAACTGCTACCAGACTGTGTTAGGAAAAGTCAGTTCTGTCTGCATTATTGTGAAGTTTTGGATAAGACATTTGTGCTTGGTCTTTATTAAGAGCAAATCTACTGATCTGAGCTCTCAAGTGTACTACTTGTTAATTTTGTGGTTGTTTCCAGGGTGACTCGTGTTTATCTGACTGAGCTGGGGCTAGCCTCACTCATTCTCACCAATCCCACATTGCTTCTGACCTTTTATCCTGTGTTTGCTATCACATCAGTTAGTGCTATATAAATTGAACTGTATGATTTCAGATAATACAGGACTAAAATAATGTGATGTATGAGGAATTGAAACAGAAGATTGACCAGAAAGGGATGATAGTGGACTTTCAAATTTTAAGATCAGTGTGAACCATATTACTTGCATTCATTTCTACACTCTGCTCCTTTCATAATCAGTTCTCCTTTGGGTAACAGATTTTAGGAAAACCACTATCTAACAATGCATTTGAAGGCAGTGATCAGAGTGGTTGGGACCAGGCCAGTTGCTGCAGGATATAACAAAGACCAAAATGTGGAAAAATGTGAGCAGCAATGCCTCAGCTGGCAAATGCACAGAAAAATCGCCAAGCAGGAAAACTTCTATAGCAGATGCAAAGGTGAGACAGGAAGGTTCACATGATTAAATGTATTTGGTCCATTAAGATCAGTCTACAACAAAAAAAAGTCTCCTTGCTGGTCTACTTTATGTATTCCATATGGAATTGTATAGAAAAGAAAATGGTTTGGCCACCAAATTGCATTCTCAAAAACATCAAATCCTAAAAGATAACTTTAAAATTAACCAAAGAGTATGAAAGCTTTTTTTCCCATATAATATAGATGCCACTAGCAAAAGATGAGTAACACACTTTCACTCAGGAAAGGACCAGAGAAATAAATCTAACTCATTTTCCTTCACTTTAGCATTTCTAGGCAAAGGATACATTTAATCAAAAGCAGAGCTTTAAATATGAAAAATGTTTGATAACTCCATCCTAAACATATAATAAAACTTGTAAGACTAAATCTGTATACAGTGCTCCAGTGTATTCATTCACAATCTCAACTGCAGAATGATCCATTAGACATTATCAATGATTGGACATAAAAACAAACAAAAACCAAAGGGAAAAAAAATTGTTCTCTTATAAAATGAAATGTATTAGTCACCTTTTAAAGAAAAACATCCATAAAGAAAATTATTTATCCTTACAAATGAACACTTTGAATGCATGGCTTCACATCTTCAAAAGTCGATTATTCTTACTACTTTGTAGAGAAGGATCAGACTGATGTAACTCACGCTCTCAAATATAGGCAAGTGTACTTGATCTTTAGTAGCATCCTGCCTGCTTTGGCCTTTCTATTTCAACCAAAATATTTTACAAGTTCACTTTAAGCTAAATTAAATTTGAATAAAAATTCTGTTGACTACTTTTGGGGTTGCTAAAAGCAATATATTATAGAGAGTTTTCAAAGATATGTTGTAAATTGATTCCAACGATATAAATAATTATATAATCAGCATTTATAAAAGCCTGACCTTAGAATTTATATATGCAAGTAGTCATATGCTATTTGTATATGACCCTGAAAAGTACTCACAAAAAATTGCTTTGCATTTTATTGAAGTAGAGTGAATTTAATATGGTCCCAGTGTATCAGTTTTCTCATGACATAACTATAGTCAAAATATTATCTATATTTTGGGTAATTATCTGGATTATCTGGGCAGGTGAGAACTATGTTGGATTTCCCTCACTGATCTGCACAGAAGGACAATAGAATCAAATAGCAGCATGTTAAAATGTCAGTCTCTGAGAACAGGAACAATATCTGTCTTGCGACATTGTGTAATTCCAGTGCCTGGAACACGTCTAGAACACTGTATAGACCTGGTAAAAAAAAATACTTTTAATCAATAAATATTAAAATAACGTGGAGAAAATACATGGGCATGGTGGATATTTTTCTTTTGAAATTGTTTTATACTCAAATGCGGAATGTTACTGGGTTTTAGGTAACTCAAACAGCTGCTGATTGTTACATATTTTGCAAATTTGACAATGGGAGCCCTCCTAAATTGGTATCACTTTTGTTTTTAACCTTTTAAAGCCTAAAATAATAGAGTTTCCTAAATGTAAATGGGACTAAACAGGAATCTACAGAAATGAGTCTAAGAAATACTGACACAATGAAAGTATTCAAACACCTACAATAAAATTATAAAAATATCAGCCTCTTTAGTAAAAAGAAGTGACTTTTCTTGGTAAAAGGACAGTTAATCTTTTAAATCTATTCATTTCCATGTGGCAAAATTGGAATCTGAGTTCAAAGTATAGCTTATAGCAAAAAGCAACAATTACTTGGCACTTTACACTTTGCAGAGTTTCTCAGATTTACTCAGTAAACAATGCCTATATGCAAACAAGAATGCTACCATGTGTACATAATAGGGCTGCAATAATAGAACACACACATCGGATAGCTGCCCAGTCCATCAACACTTATTGAGTACCTACTGTGTGCCCAGCCCAGAGTCAGGTGGCAGGCTCTGTGCGATTCTTGCCTGTGATGGCTCATAAATCACAGTATTCATACTACATGGTTAACATTTTTCTACTGCTACCCAAATGAGTACTGGACTCTTTACATGATTTATTTAAGCAAATAAGAGTGTGGCCAATTCGGGATTACCTCACATTTATTTAGCAGCCCAGTTTCTTGCAGGCGAGACCAGATGCTCTGTATTCGTCCAGCATGTTCAGGGTGGGTGGTGGAATTGCCACAAATGCACTGGTGTTTCAGCATCAGAGGGTCATAGGCAATTCCTTCAAGACATAGAAAACACAGTACAAGATTGAATAATAATACAAGGTAATGATACATGTTAGAAGATAATATGATTGCTCCAAAAAAGTCATTCTTTTAAAAACAAGTTTTACAAAAAGAGAAATAATGTATATCAGCAAATTCTCAGAACCACATAAGAGCTATTTACTCCTGTATATCTGCATAACCAGTACTCAGACCCTAGATAAGCAAATCTGTAAAGTGATGAAGACGGTGACATTTTAAGAAATTTTAGATTAAAAAAAATAATGTGATCTCACCAGCATTTAAAATCATTACGAATTGTTTTTAGGCAAATAATTCAATTCAGTAGAGGTTTTAGTTTTATCATTGAAGCCACAGAACAAACTAGCTCTTTAAATCCTTCATGAGTAATTCCAGCTTTAATTTAGATCAGGGCTACAACCTTTTAATAAACTGGAGGATTTTCTAACTCCTTGCCTATTCTGTTTAGCAATTCCTTCAATGTCGTGCAGAAAGAGTTTCTTCTTTGCTTATTTGTGTCTCTCATAATTTATGCCACTGTGTACACAATATGGATATTGTAGATCTTATAATATTGTGGGACATTTGAAGTGTTTCTTTTAAAGAATGAATGTCCATTGAAATATCTTTAGTAGAGATTATATAGATATTTCATAAATAAATCTGCTTTTAAATTATCAGGAGTTAGCATATTTCATGTTTAAGTTAGACCTTATGACGGGGGCTTATAAAAATGTGATGAAATGAATTATTAGGGGTACATAAAATATAACTTTTTAAGGCAATAAATTACATGATAATTAAAACTCTGGATAGTTTTAAAAAGATATCCATCTTTAACCTTATTTTTTAGAGTAAAAATATATTACTTACAAAATTGCCTGACATAAGAAATTATTTAACCAGTAAAATATCTTTCAATAAATGACCATCAACTTGCATTTTGTGGGGGTGGGGTGGGGAACTTCTATGATAAGAAATTAAAGTAGAAAAAATATATATCTTTTCAAAAATAGTTACCAGCAACTTATGTTGTAAAGCAAGTTTAATTAAATACATTTTATTCTCCCTTTGACTTACATTATTATGTTAGAGAAATGTCACTTGATGGGAACATATTTTTCCTTGCAGATCATGCAGAAGAATGGCATATGCATTTTCAACCATGTAGTAAAAATTGTCTAAGGAAAATATCGTTTTACCGGTCCAAGTAATGCCAATCGTTAAGACTCAAATGGCTTCGAAACCCATCCCTATGCTCCGACTCTCACATTTTCATCCTCGTCCGTGACCTCTTCTGAGCAGCATACGTGCACACTTATCTATTCGATTGTCCACCCAAAATAGCTAGTTGGATATCTCAAGGTTTTTATAATGTGAGAATGTCTCTGATTTTGAATTCATGACAGAAGATATCAAAATTGGCCATTACGCATACAAGAAACCCTAGTGTCCTCTTGACACTCCCTCATCAATGAACCACAGCAGTGTCTGTTTTCCCTCCAAAACAGACCTTGAATAACTCACTTCTTATCTCCACTGCCAAAACCACACACAGTCCAAGGTACTATTATCTAATCTGGACTCCTGAGATAGCCTTCTAAGTGGCTACCTGACTTTCACTCTATTTCATTTGCCATACATTAGTAGGTACTTTTCCTTAATTCCTTCAGTGACTTTGCTGATAGGACTACAATTCCTCGAGGCCAGCATAGATGGACCCCTCCCCATCTTTCCAGCTTCTTTTCATACCCGTCCCTCTCTTGATCTCTATTTCTCCTGCAAAGGCCTTCCTTCCATCCTGCATAAGGGTCAAAATCCTACCAGCCTGGGGATCTTCATACATGCTCTTCTGTCTATGCCAACAGTTCTTCCAGCCCCCCTGTAACTCCACCCTCATCTAGCTAATTCCTTTTCATTCTTCAAGGCTCAGTTAAAATGTCACTTTCTTGACAAAGCATTCTCTGAGATCTCTACATTGTCTCCTGTCATATATTCTCTTAGCATCTTCTAGGTCTCCTTCAGACCAGTTATCACAATTACATAATTGTTTATAATTTTGTTAATTGTACATTTTCTTCACTAGATGGTAAGATCTATGAAAGCACACAGACTATACTTCCATTGTTTACCTCTGAACTCCCAGTGTCTGTAAACATTCTTCGAATAAAGTAGGTCCTCAAAAGTATTTTTTAATGAATGAATGAATAAAATATATGAATAAATTAATAGGTTCAAGAGCTAGGTCAGATATTTCCATTATAAAGTCTTCCTTGATCAACCAAATTGGTGGATATCTTTGGATTCCTGAAGTTTTTGTGGTCTTATTTCTTTAATATTCTACCTTTTATTATTTATGCCTTAACTTCCTAGCAACAAGTGCCCCTAATATAGCCATTTATTTTACTCAGCTTTATATTTTTCTACATGGCATTTTGCCCAAAGTCCTTCTCTTTTTCATTTGCACAAAGTCCAATATGAACAAATATCTTTAAATAAAGTCAAAGGAAAGACATGAAGGAAGGTGGAAAAGAAAGCAAGCCAGGTAGGAAGGAAGAATAACATTTAAAATACTAAGGTACAATTCAGATTTATCAAGTATTTATGAATTGCTATTACATAACAGGAACTGTTTAACATATTTCCATTTACAGTTTCATACTACATAAAATAAAAGATATGTTAATAATAATATAGAAACAAAAAGTATAGTATCTGCCTCATTTTGAAAATACATTCTTCAAGAGTAGATATTTTAATCATTATGTTGCTTAACTTTTTCTATTTCATCTCTTGACATATTCAAGCTCACCTCCATAGTAATTTTTCCCCTTCTAACATTTTCCCCATAACCTACTGCCAAGAAAAAGAAAATTGTGAAACAGGTTATGGTAGCTGGAAATTGTTGCCAGGTATCTGGAGATTATAATACAAAGTCCAGGAGCTCTTGGAAAGATGTTTGAATTTAAAAGGAAATAAATAAAATCTGGAACCCCAAACCTCCACTGACTCATCTTAATGATGTATCAATGAGGTGTTAACAGGTAGACTGCAAGGTGAGACTTTAACCTCATCCTTCCTCTACATTCCTTTTCTCTCTCTTTCTCTCTCTCTCTCTCCCCTCGAAACAACAACTTATAGGGTGAGAAATAAGCCTACTCTTCTCTTGGGAATTCTTTTGAAATTCTATTTTTGTTTGACTCTTTCTGCTCCACTGGCTATCACTTGCAACATAAGCCAGTGGATCAATCTTTCTCTTGATCAATGGGACAAGATTTTAAGTTAAGATTTGGAAAAAATACACAAAGGAGCCTTAAAATCTTTACCTGTGTTTTAAACACTAATAATTTGTTTCCCACAAAAAAAAAAATACAAAAAAAATTTTAAAACTATTGAAAAGTTTTTGACACATTTTTTAGAGAAGCTTGGACTTTTTACTTTCTTTGGCTTTCAGTTTTATTAAAGGAGATAATGTATTTGAAGCATCCAGTGTACTGCCTTTCATTTTTCTTTAACATTATACATAGCTAAGTTATTACTTAGCCATAGACTCCATTCATGTGTTCAGGTTTAGACTTCAGTCTAGTCAGAACTTGTAGGCTGGGTCTACCTGGTCTATAAGGAAAGTTGAGTCTAAAATCTTTAGACCTAAAACTCTTGATTCTGATTCCTAGTTCCTAACATTCAACTTTATAGTGCACTTCTAGCAACTGCCTGAGTTTTTATACTTTCCCAAGGTATTTGCTAAACTATACTTCTTAAGCAAGTTCTAGGGCCAGGGGACTGGATCAAGGACTAGCACAATACAAACGTATATGACATGGCATCTCTCCTGAAAGATGTGCAGATTCAGTAGACTGTCATTAAATGTTCACTGTTTTCCCAGTACCAGTAGCTTCATTTTATTATATTTAACTTGAGATCTAGTAGAAAACATGAGACATGGAAATATAATTAAATGGCATACATAAAAAAAGAAGAAGAAGAAGAGAAAAAAACCTCTGGTAAGGAAGAAAAATTGATGTGAGACTAGGAGGTCAGACCAGAACTCTTAGAAAAATAAAAATCGTTTTTAAAAAACTAAATAACCTGCAAATATTAGAATTACTACAATAGGTAGAATATATTTTGAAACAAGGGTCATTTTTAACAACCTTCAGATCATACCCATAGCAGTTGTTGTTACTCCTTCTAACCATAACTTTATACATAAGCCTTATTTTGCCTTATTTTTTCTATTTCTGCCATACTGTTGAGCTAGAGCTAGGTCTGGAGCTCACAGACCCCTCAAACCCATTCACAGACTAGGTCACAAACCCTTCATATGCCAGGCTGGATCCCCAGACCCCTTACACATGGGTCTATGAGCTAGGTAACTGGCAAACAGGTCCTTGGAAGCCACAGGTTGGAAAGGCATGGCCACTCAAGTCGCGGCCACCCAAGGCAGTAAACTCCAGCCAAGGTGGTGGCACCCTGAAGGCACACTAACTCCACCCACACACAACTTGTTTACAAAGAATGCTGCACCACCCTCAATCTGCCCCCAGGTGAGGGGGCCTGATTAAATTATTCTATTTTCCCAACACATACTCTTCACATTCTACTATTGATAATATTTGTTATAACATGTTTTAACAGGAACTCATAAATCAAAGTACCAAACAGTGCAAATTTTAATTAGGTGTGAATCTTAATGTGTCCAGCAAGCAAATGATGTAATATCTGAAAATGATTTTTTAAAAATTGGTATATTGTGCCTCTCACTAGATAAGAAGCATTTTCTAAGACTGACAGTTCTGCTTTTATGGTTTTTGAATCATCTTATCAGAGTATCAGTCAGCTAGAAAGGGAGTAGAAGATATTCTCACCATAGACCTACCCCCTAACACCATATGAAAGTCTGTTACAGCCTAGGAGCTGGATTAAGTGTTGCCATTCAACTACGGAGCCAGGAAAAGGATTCAAGCAGCATGTAAGTTGGCAAAAAAAATGA